GCTAGTGCCAGGCCTGGGGCCACTTATCAAGCTGTATTGGGCCTGCTGCTGGTTGTTTGAGAGATTTTAGGAAAGTCCTAAGCATGAGGCTCGAGAGGCCACTTGCACAGAAAAGCCCCTGGAAATGGCCTGGATGAGCTGCAGGTGGGGAGGGGCGGGGCCTCCGGGAATCACGGGGCGGGGCCAAAGGTGTGAGTCAGGTGCTGGCGATTCAAATATGGCGCCTGCCTGCCGGCTGTGTGCGGGGAGGACTCGCCAAAGGAGCCATGGCCTCCGCCAGCCCTTCTGCCTGGGAGGAAGCCGCCCTCCGCCTCTCGCCCGGATCTCAGGCAGGTTAGTTCCTCCCCGAGTGTCCCGGGTCCTTTCAGGCTGCTGCCCGGCGCTGGGCTCAGAGGGAGCGTCCGAGTGAGTCCGTGCCGGGCCCTTTAGAGGAGCTGCTGGGGCTCCCGCAGCCTCGCGACCCTCAGCCACAGTCCCCGCTGGTTTCACAGCCTGAAGCTGTGGGGGCGTCTCTTCCCGGCCCTGGAGCCCTGGGCTGGGGGCCTGCTGTGGGGTTGGGACCCCTCCCTCCTCCGGGAAACCTCCACCACTGAGATTCCCTCCTGGTTTCAACCTCGGCACCGGGTGTGGGCCCGCGGCCACGTCTCTGCAATTCAGCCCCGATCCGCCGCACCTGCGTCCCTCCTACTGGTCCCGAAGCTTCTTCAGTCCCCTGGTTGTGGGGCCTCTGTGCAGCCAGATCTCAGGAGGCTCTGAGTGATGGTTCTGAATTTTAGTTGTAATTTTGATGTGGTTGCGGGAGGCGGCGGGTGCAGCTGTTCCCTACGCCGCCAGCTTGTTTTTCCTTAGCATCACGTGAAGAAGTGGTGCGGAGGGGAAGGAATCTAGACGCTCCCTGTGTCCCACTGTCTCTGGGTGGCCCCAGCAAGAACTTGTTTACCAAATACTTGCTCTCTCTCATCTACAGCAGTATTTTCTGTATTACTCCTAGATAACTACAAAACATTTTTGTACGAGTGTCAGGTTTTGCTTATAAGTCAAAATGAGGCAGTAGATACAGTCATGGAAAAAGAAGAAACGGACAAATCAGTCAGCGTCCTTTTACAGAAGTCCATCTCAAGGTTAACGCAACAAAAAACACATCCACACATCACTGTGACAATGAGTATTGAGTACCTCTTTGTCAAAAATATGTTTAACCTGAAGCAATCACTAAAGTAGCAGATTCTACTTTTTTAGAGAGAGAGGAAGGGAGATAGGGAGAGGAACATGGCTGCCTCCTGTACGCACCCCAATGAGAATCGAACCCGCAACCTTTTGGTGTATGAGATGATGCTCCAATCAACCACCACCTGGCCACGGCAGCAGATTCTACTTTCAAAGTATGAATTTTCCAAATTCTATTGGTCTTACACTGAAAGCTCATTTGTGCCAGATGTGCAAAAGCTAGCCCACTTTCTCAGTATCTGGTAATCCCTGTGGAAAATAAAGCCCGTTGAATGAAGGAACAGAATACGGTGTCAGGGAGGTTCCAGCCTGAGAGTCTGAATCCCTTTGTGGTGGCGACAGCTAAACTGTCCCCAGGAATTACTCTACCTTTTGTTTCCCAGCCTCTCTTGAAGCTAGCTGTGGCCACAATACTAAGTTTTGTTTGGTCAATGGGATGTAAGCAGAAGTAGATGTATAACTTTAAAACAAAGTGCTTGCCCTGGACTTCTTTCCCTCTTCCTGCTGGCTGGGAATTAGTGACCAGGACAGAGCTGGGTCCCTGGACAACCTCGTGGGCCTGCTCACTTACCTTGCAGCTACTGAATCTGAAAAAAACTTCTATCTTGTTTCAGCCACAGGGTTTTGGATCTCTAGGTCACAGCAGCTTACTCTGTCCCCTAATGTGTACAACTGTAGGCATATTTTTTTCCTGATAAAGCTCACCAAGAACCTCCTCCACTAAATGGTTTGGATTTACTGAGACAACTAAAAAGCCAAATTAATGTAATTCAGTAACATTTATTTTACATGAAACAATTTTCAAAGAATACACTTAAAAACCATCTAGATACTGATTTTATTGCATTACAAAAATTGAGAGGTACAACTGAACTATTCAAATATATTGTGAGGAGTGGAGGTGGGGGCCTAAGAGCACTGTTCACGTGGTTCCTTAATCACTTACAGGCTCTCGGTGCAAGAGTCTTTACCATGAGGCACAAGTGCATTTCATTTAGTAGGAATAAATCACATAAAATATATACTTTTATACAGAAAGTGTTATTGTATTATCACTTTCGATTACTTATAAAAACTTCATTTAAAATTGCACAAAAGTTCTCTTTAAAACTGATAACTCCCAGAAGACAGGGCTTAGAACTAAGTATCTCTCTAAATAATTCATTACAAATAATTAGGTTTCCATTTCTCCACAGACTAAAAAAAAAATCTGTGAAGAATTACATTATTCAAAAGGGACACTTTAAATTTTTTTCATAAGAAAATAGGTTTGCACGTTTGTCCCTAGTCAGCTAAATTCATCTTCTCCCTACTATAAGACAAATCACAGAATGTTCAAAGTTTTAAATCGGAGTACCTATGCCACAGTACACTGTGGAAGTGTTTACATCAGTTCATTTTGTGTGTCATTCTACCATAGCGTCAAATTATCAAGAAGGCACAATGGGTACATTCTTCAGAACAGTTTTGGTCTTTTTTTAAAAAAAAATCACACGTTTATGAGCAGTGATTTCAATCATGTTTAAAAACAAAAATATGAAACAGATTCATTTCCCAATCCAGGTGATACAGAATCCACGAAATTTCGCAGGTGCTTCACTTTCCGTAGAATTTCTTGTTCAGCAGGTATATGAGAAGGTTTACATTCACTTTAACCTTATCAAACATTTTCATTACAGCTACTCCTTCATACTGCATCTCAAGTAAATCCTGAAATTGTAAGGCACATCATTAAATCTCAAACTTGACATTTAGCATATTTAAAAAATACTCTAGAAGAATTTGACAAAAAATAAGATTCGAGTGACCTAGGTGGGTGTTCTTATACTTCAACGTCTATCAGAATCACCTGGTTAAAACACGGGCCAGTTAAAACACGAACTGCTGGGCCCCACACCCAGGCATTTCTGACTTGGTAGCTCTAGGGTGGGGCCCCAATACCTGCACTTTACCAAATGCCTACATGATGATCACTGTGTTGGCCTGGGTGCCATACTTTAAGAATCACTTACTTAAATGAAAGAAAATAGATTTTTAGGACTGATGAAGACCACTGAAAGAAAACCATTAGGATTAAGTTAATTCAGCCGTATATTTTAATTTTCATTGAAAAATTCAAAACAAATACTCCAGCAAGATGGGGTACACCCTTTAGAACAGAGGAGTTTTCCAAAGCGAAGTGAGCAAGACAATTCACTGAGCACTAAAAAGAGTATTAGAACTATTTATTTTGGTTTTTCTCACTTTTTAAACACTTAAATTTTATATATATTTTATAAAGTATACTTTGAGTATAGTGAAAGGAACAATTATACTTTATAAATAAATATGTACAAATGGGGTGGCGTGATCGTGCTGTTTATTGATGAAGCTGTGTGACTGAAATTTGGCGAACCACTACAAAAGATCCTCCTGATCTGGACTACTTCTTTTCCTATACTGAGAACAAGCCCTCATTCCCAAGTCAGTCTATCACTCTGGGCTCCCTTGCCACCATATAAAAAAGAAAATAAACTCACCTGCTGAAAGCCCTAACTGGGTCACACCAGCCAGATGCATGAGACTAAGCAGTAACATTTCACAAACACAGGACAGGAGACCTTTCCCAAACAGAAGGTATCATTCCTAAACTGCGCCAGACTAATACCCAGGTCTCGTTCTCTTGTTTTTAGCTCTGGAAATGTCCTGGTTCTTCATAATACCTTATGTCTGTATTAAGGAAGGCCCCCTGCAGAAGCTGGATCATTTTTGAGAGAACTCGGCTCTTGCTAGCTACCTGCTCTACTTCTTCAATTACCTCCAACTGCACTCGCCTAAACGCTTACATTATTTAGATATGCTTCTGAGATGGAAATTCCATAGGGAATTGAAGTTCTTCCATCAAGAATGCTTTTACCTATTAAAGTGCACTGGAGATTCACTTTTCCTTTGGGAAAGACAATGTCTGTTAATCAAAGTCTCTTAGAAAAGAAACCAATATAGTTAAGTAGAGAAGGAATGGACGATACAGGGGAATTAGCTGGGCCCTTCAGGTGGGGAGCAGAGAAAATATAATCACAATTGTGATGAGAAGACCAGATTTTAGTCTTAGCTCCACCATTTGCTATCTTGTGATCTTGCAATGTCACATAACCTCAAAGTCTCACGGAGTTTCTGAGGCCTCTCTAAACAGGTGTCTCCTGGTCACCTGGCATTCATCTTGTGTGTAAACTGAGGATAACACTGTTAAGTTCCGGGGAGTATTACTGGGCATGTGAGGTCAAGGTATCTGTAAACCCTTTGTAAGCCACCCTGTCTTGTCAGGATCAAGTGGAACCTGGGAGAGAGGCAGTGGAGCTGAGTAATGAAGACGTGGACTCTAGCTGCCTCTTCCATAACCAGCTCTCTGAACCTCCATCCTTAACTGGGAAAGGGAGACTGCCAACCCCACCGTCCTCAACAAGCACAAGCCATTATTAGTATAAGCAGAACATCTTCCTGTAAGCCTTGCCCTCCTTTTATGTATATGCCTGTAGCTATAGGATGCAATTAGGATGTAATCTTCGGCAACTAAGATGAGCGGGCTGAAGAAAACCCAGACACAATGCTAGAAGGCATCTTCCTTAGACCTCTTAAAAACTTCTTGACTCACACTAAAAACATGGCCACCATGCTGCTTTTTGGTAATTCACTTGATAATTTAATGTTCTGTATAAACAGAAGTCTGACTTTACGTTACTATACGCAGGGCAGCTCTTCAGGCATTCGACCTGTGTAGGGGCTCATCATCAGAAGGGCACTGTACTTGGTTTCAATCATCTTGAAATTCTCGATAACTTTGAATAAGGGCTATGCATTTTCATTTTGTATTGAGCCCTGCAAATCTTGTAGCTGGTCTTAATGATATGGTAAAGGTTAAAAACCTGGGGCTTATTAGCCACCTGCATACAGCTAAGAAGTAACATTTCACAATTATGTGTATAAATGGATGGTATGAATAGCTAGTCCCACTGCATGCCGAATCCTCACAAAGGGGCAAGTGAAGCTTGGTATTTGCACCAGTGTTCAAAGGAAGTCTCAAGGAATTTCTGAGGCCTCTCTAAACAGGTATTGCCTGGTCACTTGGCATTCATCTGTCCAGTTGATACTGACTGGTCTTGGGTCATTTCCTTCCTGGCAATCACATGGCATGTTTGCCCCCTCTGGAGAAGATTCACTAACCAAGGTGCATTACCCACAGGCACATTCCTTTCTCTTCCCATATTTGTCAAAGTGTGAATGTAAAGTAACTCAAGATTCAGTTAAATTGTTAGATGGATACATTTAGTGATATTTAAATTCAGTTAGAAAACAATACAGTTTATTTAAGTATAGTTTTCATAGTTACATAATATCTTTTATTTTTTTCTCTATACTCCAATCTATTCCATTATTTCAATGTTTTTATTATGCCCATTTAGCTCCCATTTTCGTTTTAAGTTACAAGGAAGGCTAGAGAAAAGCAGGGCTCTGGTATCTGCTCCCAGGAGGGGAGGTGATTTCAGGGCTCAGCAATGGGCTGAGCAGGCAGTGAGGCTGGAACTTACACCATGCCCAGTGGCTTGTCAAGATGATTCATGCAGAATACCTGAAAGTCATTTTATATACAAGTAGTTTGGGACCCAGTAAATAGGTGTTATTGCCATTTAAAAACTCAGCCCGGCCGGGTGTGGCTCAGCGGCTGAGCATCGACCTAGGATCCAGGAGACTGCGGTTTGATTCCCAGTCAGGGCACATGCCCGGGTTGTGGGCTCGATCCCCAGTCGGGCGTGCAGGAGGCAGCCGATCAATGACTCTCTCATCATTGATGTTTCTACCTCTCTCTCCCTTCCTCTCTCTGAAATCGATAAAGATATATTAAAAAAAACTTATACAAAAAAGGAAATCTCAATTCTCTAAACTGATTCTGTGCTAAGGATGAAGAAGCTGGGAGTAGATGAACTTAAACATTAGGTTGTACCCTCCCTTTTTTTGGAGGGGCACATAAACTGGGCTTCTCAGTTTCTGTTTAAGTATATTTGGCTTAAATGTAGCTCTTATGAGAAACAGCAATGATTCAGACTGCAAATATAATTTTTCTACTTACAGTTATCTCCTTTGCACAATGCTTGTCATTCATATGATCCCAAACATTTAATAAATAGATTTGAGAAACATGTTAAAAAGAGGGGAAATGCAATTGGGAAAGCTCCAATCCTGGGCATACACAGTCTTAGAAAGAAATTCAAGTTCCTGATATAAGGAAATTTCCAGCCTCTCCTTAATAGCTCTGAATACTTTCATAGTATTCTTCTCTCTCAGCTTCAAAATGGAAACATGGTGAGGAAAAACTAACTGCTCTGGCTTTACCACCTAAAAGCACTGTAAGTTCCAATAAAATAAAAAATCATAGCTTTAAAAAAATAATCAGTGCATCAAAAGCTAATATTGGCAAATAAGGCCTACACTGGCCTTCTCTGTTGAGCTTCACTGTCGTCATGAGGAGTGCAAGCCAGGGGCCACGAATGACCCACACTACAAAACTCCTCCCCACTTTGCAAAGCCCAGCCTACCTGAATATTGAGCTGCACCTTTTCCATCTCCACACCCAGGAATTTGGACTTGACATCGAAGATGCCCACATCTTCCGTAGACAAGATATCAAATGTAACATTTTTAAACCTAGTGAAGAAAGGGACAGTCACACATGTGGAACTACAAATATATGCTTAGAGTTGAAACAAATGAATGGAATCCGAAGCTACCACTACTTAGTGAATGGTCTAACCTTAAGGAAAGTCATCCGAAACCTCCCACCCCTTCCCCCACTCTGCTCCCTAAAATGACGAGCTCTGTAGCTCACAGAGCACCGACACAGGTGCTTTACAACAACAGACATGCAAAACATGGCTCTTGCTCTCAAAGAGCTTAAAATATAGTTGGAAATACATGAGATCCACAGAATAGGAGAGTTAAATATTGACTTATACCATGGACAGGCCAGTTAAGTATTTCAGATGGTAAGTTTTACAAGAACTTAAAAGAGGAAGAAGTATTTTCTCCGAGTGGTGGTCAGGAGAAGGTTTGATGGGAGAAATGAAACAGAAGCCAGGCCCTCAGGGAAGGCGAGGGAGTCGGAGGAATAGTGATCTGGCTTCCTCCAAAGGACAGGGAGTGATGGGGCACCGGGCGCATGGCCCCTTTATTTTAAAAACTTTTTAATTAAATTTATTGGGATGACATTGGTTAATAAAATCATAGAGGTTTCAAGTGTACATTTCTATGACACATCATTTGTATATTGCACTGTGTGACCACCACCCAAAGTCGAGTCTCCTTCCGCCACCATATATGTGACTCCCTTTACCCTTTACTATCCCCACCCCCTTTCCCTCTGATAACCGCCATACAGTTGTCTGTCTCCACGAGGTTTTGTTTGTTTTGTTCTTTCATTTGTGGCTTTCCAGGGTCCCTTTAAAACAGAGAACCCAGTGGCACCTGGGGTGGGGCTGCAGAGGCGGGTGTTGTTTTCCCCTCTACCCTCTGCACGGCTGGAGGGTCCGGCTCAGGTGCTGGCACACAGTCCGTGGCTTTGAAATTAGAAAGGTACTGTTTTTCAATGGTAAGTAATCTCACCTATCAAGACCAAAAGGCAGCCTTTATTCTCACTGCTAAGGACTCCGTTCTTTTGGAGGGAACAGGGAGGCTGGCAATTCCAGATGCACTGGACAGGCCACGGGAGACACAACCACTTGGTCAGCCCTTCATCCAACCCACCAGATGCTCAAGGCCTGGTGGGAAGACTAGAGGTGACAATGCACGTATCTCCCCGTCACCTGTAATCAAGGGTGAGCCTTGAAAGACCAAGTGAAGCTCTCTTCAAAGGCCACAGGAACCAGAGAAGTGTGAGGGAGATGTTACGGGGAATTAGAGGGTGTGCGTCTGTGCGATTCCCGGTCACTCACTGGTTGGTCTGCAGGTCGTCGATGCCCAGCAGCACACCCTTCTCATGCAGCTTCGCGGCCGTGTACTTCACCGGCTTCCCTCTCTTCATCCCCTTGGCTTCTCCTTTGTCGTCTATTTTGATTGATCTCCGAGAATTTCTAGCAAAAGAAGAACAAACCGTCTGTCGTCCTGATGGCAAACTCGGAGTGCAAGAACCATGCCCAGGGTGTAGGCCGCTGTGCAGACCTGCCCTCTTGGCACCAAATGTGCAACTTTCCATCTATTTTGTGATTGTAGGTGGCAGTTTTCCCCATGCAGTACAACCTCGCTATGAACCGCTTAAGGGAAAGCTATTTTCAAAGTGACTGAAGTTTGAATTACAGACTGTTTTTCATAAAACTTGCACTCTGCTTTTTCAGGCGTATCGAACTAAGAGGACACGTCCAGTCATTCTGCAGGCAGCTTCTCATGAGCGGCACACTCCTGAGTCAAGGTAGCGCCAGGTCTGCTTTAATTTGTTTAACAAATACTATCTATGTAGCCAGAATTGTTCTATTGCTTTATAAATATTGCCTCACATTTACAAAATTAACATTTCCATAGTGCTTTGAAATAAAATTCCTTTCTTATATGTTATTTCATTTTGCTCCCATAACAGCACTTGTGAGGCTGGCACGCCTCATCTCACCTTAAAGATGAGATACCTGAGGCTCCAGAGAAGTTCATCGGACAGGTTCAGGGTCACACAATACAAGAGAGAATCAGAACCCAAGTCCAGCTCCCCTGACTGCAGAGTTTGTAAAATGCCTTCGAGTAGTTTAGTGTGTAATTCAAACTGAAGTCTGAAATAGTCTGCAATAAATATGTAAAGAAAACCTCTAACATTTCTAAAACGCCCAATATTTCTACCAAATATTAGCTCTACCAACTTTTTCCTCTCAGTAATAGAGTAAAAGTAATTTATAGGCCACAAGCAAATGAATTAAAATTCAGAACTAGTAGGGCCCACACAAATGTGGTTGAAATTTAGTTATTTCCCTTAATCAATCTTCTGAGATTTTCCCCTATAGCACCATTTCCTACTGTCAAGTTGACAATAAGCATTACATAAAAATACTGTATTATCTATTTAAAAGGGTAATTAAAATTTGATTAGTATTGACCTTAGTCTAATGATAAGAATAATTATGAACAAATAATACTCATTAAAAGTGGCTATATTGCATATCGAAAATCTATACTATGTACGCTAATGGGTAATAGAGAACTGCCAAATTTTGTCTTTTGTGTTAATGATTTTTTCAAAACCATTAGACAGTTTGAAATCATTAGGCTGCTGTGCAATTAGCAAATATCTGGTGTTACCTAACGTTATCAAGAATATAAAATACTGTTTATTGGAGACATTCCATAAACAAGAGTAGCCTTTATTTTATTTTGTTTTTTTAAATCCTCACCCACGAGAAACATTGATGTGAGAGAGAAACATAGATTGGCTGCTTCCTGCATGAGCCCCGACAAGGGCTGGGGATCGAGCCTACAACCTAGGTGCATGCCCTTGGCCGGAATCGAACCTAGGACCCTTTAGTCGGTGGGCCAACGCTCTAACCGCTGAGCCAAATCGGTTAGGGCTAGCCTTTATTTTTATAATAGTGCTTAAAAGACAACTTTGCCTAGAAAAGACAAAAGGAACAATGAACGTTCTTCCCCAAGTGTGAAAGTTAAGCTACTTTAATTTCAGGTTTGAAATACTGATGGGGAATTATAAAGTTTCTAAATTCAGTCCTGACTTCTTAGTTCACAGTGCCAATTCATAAAATTGAAATTCTAGTTTTTGGTTATAAAATAAAGCAGAAAGTTGCTTCCATCCCCCACCCAGCAGCCCAGGGTTGTGAAAGAATTGACATCCATATAAATCATGACAATGCAAATGAATATGCGATTTTAACTTACTTTATTTTTAAGTTGTCTAAGCAAGTCTTTATGTAGGTGTCATAATAATTAATTTGCTCTTCATAAAATGCTGCCTTCTCATTAAGCGCTTTCAAGGTCTGCTGGAGTTTTGCCAGTTCGGCTTTTCGAAGCTTACGATAGATTCTCTGATTTCGAATATCCTAAAACAACATGTAAAAAGCTATGGTATGAGATGTAAGCAGAAGTGTGCTTTGCAATCTTGCCAGTTTGAGACAAGGAGAATATCAAGTATTAAATCACTATCTGGGACTGCCGTTTATCTCAGTCACCTTATTTAATCGACCCCACTTTCCCCCTTCACTTCTGACCTGGCAAGTGCCCATGTTTCACTTAAAGGGAGTTGCTAAGGTTTATTTTTTTCTTGATGGAAAAGCAAAAAAGCAATTTTAGAATTACCAGACAAGTAATCTAAGGAAAAATCGTGTTTTAAAAAGGGCACAAGGAAGACTTTGGCCTGAGACAAGCAATTTCTTCAGGATATTTCGAATACTCCTCTCCAAAGAATACTTGATGCTGAAAAGGGTTATATTTAGTCATTGCGTTCATTTTAGAAATAAGTAAAACTCAATACCCTTTTAAATCTGGGAACCATTCTCAAGGTTTAAAAACAACAACTGGGCTCTCAAGACTGAAAACATTCAACACTGACAGCTACTTAACTATTACTTGGATTTAAATAGAGTTCCTAGGACAGAAAGTTGCCCAAACTGCTTACTGCTTACAGAGCTATGCTACATTTAAACTTACAGATAAAAGCTTTTTTGTTACTCTAGTTGGTAAATAACGAAAATGTTTCATTTAAGAAAATGGTGCCTGTTTCATATTATTTGTCTGTTGTGGACAAATTAAAACCATTCCCCTAGAAATCCAGAGATAGACACACCCTTCTTAAGTAAAAATTCTTTACTAATTAGAATCTTTTGGTGGGTGTCTTCATAATGGCTTTTTCTTTTTTTAAGCCAACAGTGTCAATTTCTCTACTACACGAGAAATATTTCCCACCCCAGAGCTGCAGAAAGAAATGCTGCTTCCCTTGAGTCACCTGCTAGAAGAGCGCTCCTGCTAGAACTGACAGTGGCGTCCAGGGAAGCATGTCCTTCCAGAGGTAAGAAAATTGCTTCTCTGATTATACAACTGCTCTTAACCTTCAGACCCATTTTAAGGAGCGTGTTTGGATAAAAAGAATGAAATGCCCTTTGAAACCAGATACTTCCTTATCCTTGGCAAACAGACCTCGGCCAGTTCCTGCGATGTTTCCTTGCACTAATTTAAGAGCCTTTTCTCAGGAAGTTTCTCAGCTGTAAAAATATGGGATGAGAAAACAGAAGCTAACCTTTAAGCGGGAACTGCATTTAGAGGCAAATTCTCAGCGCCACAGCTACCATCTCAGTGCAGGTCCTACGAGCAGCTGGGCTACAGGACAGCTAACAACTCAAGAAAGAACTCTCCTAAAAGTGTCACTTTTAAAACCAGTAGGTATTGCTTAAAGGTGTAGACAAAACATGTCCATTACATTTCCTGATCATTTATTTCTGGTGTGTGTCAGCTCTTATAACAACTTGGG